GCAGTTCCCGCTGCACGATAAGGCGGGACAGGGACGGTTGTTCGTCTACTGGCTCCGTCTGATGCATCGATCGCAATCGCGGAGCAATCCTTTACCTTTCGGTTGACACTGTTGCCGGGCGAGGGGTCGAGTGTTCTAGTTTCCGACCATTCTCTCGGCTTTCGGCAGATATAGGTGCGTGCTCGCTAATTATGAGACGCGCCACCATTGTCGATGGCCCGGCTAATTGCGAACTTTGCTCGCAGAATATCTGAAATGTTCGTCTTGTCGGAAGCCCGGGCTCCGGAGGATCTTGTCGACATTGCAGACGCGAACCGTGTGTCACCGATGTCTACTTACGTAGGTGGAACTCGTCACTGCCGACGTTTCGCGGAACGAGGATTCGCTGCGCTTTACGGATTTGATTGAATCCTCGACCCGTTGATGTACGATCATTTTTGGCGTACGTGTCATTCCAGGACTGTAAATCTGCAACGAATCGTCGACGAAGAACAGCAAACATAAACAATACAAAAATAATTGTATTTTTAAATTTCAATTTCATTTCGCGTTAATTCGAAATATTTAATTTTCATTGAACGTTAATAATTAAAAAAAAACAACATTTGATTTTTCGTTGAAAGAACTTTTCGAAGTTTCGAAAACTCGAATATTTTTTAACGAGCGGCAGCATTTTTTTGGAAAAGAACTGCGACCGGTGAGCAAAGCTTTTTCAACTAGGAACATTTATTTTTTGTGCACCCGTTCTCGGCTCGTGGATGATAGATGTGTAAATTGCTCGACACTCGAGCAATGTATCACTCCCCGCGGAAATCTGGATGGCCGGCACCGAAATTCGGCGGGGTCCTCAAACTTTCCAATACTTCCGAGAACGTATCGCTGTACCGCAAAAAAAAATGGCATTTGTATTGTTCGTATCGAATCGGAAATTGAGCCAAAGCTCGGGATCAGGTAATTCGGAGGTGTTTGGCAAGCTGCCAAGCATCGCGAAAACGAATTCGCGGGGAAAGTAGAACAAAATGACGTATGCGCCCGTGGCGTCATAAGCAACAGTGATATTTTAATGTCCTGCCGCTAGGATTTTATCGCCGCTTATCTCCGATATAACATTCCCGCGGAAATTTACGATCGCGGAATATAGAAATCTCCCCCCGTCTTCTTCCTCTTCCTCTTCCTTAGATAAATGAACGCCCCGTTTTCGGTTTAAGACGCGGAAGACCCGTTCTAGGCCTCCAGAAAATGGCAAAGTTCCATTAACCACGCGCGTCATGCAGGAATTTTAATCCCTATCTATCGATTTCTCATTCGTCACACCGAATTTGTCCCTTAAATTGTCACACGGAATAAAATACGATGAGATTACATTAAGATAAGCTTGTTCGCATTCCTGAGAATTAATGGCTGCGGATCGAGACGCTAATTAAAAACACCGTAATTCGATAATAGACCGTTTATACTTGGTTCACGAATTATTTGGACAGTCTCGCAGAAGCTACTTAAAATAGAATAGCAGACGAAAACAAGAATAAACAATATTGGTAAAAAAACAATCGCTTCTCATTATGATAAAACATTTAAAACAGCATCTTGGTAGATCATATTTAACATTTTGTTCTGCGATTAGCAGATTAAAATTCATTCGGGACCGTTCTAAATTTGCAAATTACTTTTGTAACGCCGCTACTTATTAATTTACAGCGATTGCAGCGCTTTTCTCTTAGCAGCTTAAATATCGATTAACGGAACGGTGGTGTAACTTCATTTTTTTTCCACCCGCGGTGCTATTCCAGTTAGTCGATGGCATTGCGAGCTATCACAAGCTTGTGACACAAATACCACGTGAATCGATATCCCCAAGTTCTCCATTTCTTTCCTTGGCAGTGCAGAAACCCACCCCTTGCCAGCCGTTCAATGCTTTCGGAACGAAGAACCCGCGTTGTGAAACGCGCCGCGTCGCGACGTGCCGCGCGACGGTCTGTCTATCTGCTGGCACTAATCTTCTATAATTGATCCTAATTTGCCTGTTAATTGTTTTACTGCGGGCAATTCCGTCGCCTGCCGTCCAAGTAGGACGTCCGACCGCCTCTTCGATCGTTTGTCTAAGAAAACCCTGGATTCGGTGAATCAACCGTCAACGAACGTTGCATTCGTTACGAGTTGTCGTTAATTTCCCAAGCGTTACGTAACATTCAATTCATTTATAAACACTCTGCCCTTATCCTAAAAACTTCATCAAAATCTTATCGACTAAAAGATTTCGTATTCATGCTGCAAGTATTTTTGTAATACCGCATTCGATCGATAATGCGCAGATGAAAATCATAAAAACAGAACGACGACGAGGCTCGGAAAGTGAAGGAAGGGAACGAAGGAAGGGGTGTTGTATTGATCATTAAATCTGGGAACACATTAAGTTGATAATAGATTCGAGGGAAGAAATATTCACGAAGCGAGCCGGCGCGATTCGAGGACTGTTATGGCTTGGCAGATAGAGAAGATAGAAGTCTAATTCTCCGAGTTTAATTACGTGAGAACAATGCGACGTGTCCAGAGGCTTTGAAATTTAATGTCGTGCCCTGCATCAACGCTAGCTGCCATTGTGCCGACGATCCGGCCAAAATATTCGGAATTGTCCTGTAATTCAGACTGCATGGCATTTCGAGCCGTGCTCACACATTCATCGGACGAGCATTTCAAAGAACCGGTAACGGTGACACGATAACGGGAGAAATTTCTGCAGAAATTTGCGTTGCAACATGCACGGTTCTTCTTCCAGATTTTTTTGGAGATGACTAAAGCTATTTAAATAATTCGTATTTTGACAGTACTAATTAATATTTCCGGAGCTGTGAAACAAAATTAATAACCGCTTAATCACATAGCTGCGTCGATCTATTTTTAAGATCAATTTTGTACGCGTTCTATCGATCACACTGGATGCAATTTTTTTCAGCAAGCTGTTCTAGAATTATTCTAAAATGTGCGAAATTTATGAATATATTCCACAAGCATTTTAATCTAGATCGTAGGAGAAGTATTTTTGTCGTAAGATGTAAGATTGCCATTTTCTTATGACGTGCGTACACGTCGTAAAACAAATAGAAAAACTTTGAGTATTGGGAAGAATTTACTGTAGCTTCGAACGGAGACTATAGGCACAAAGTTCTGTGCGATCTCGCATTCGATAACGTCCTGGACGAACTTCTCGGTCAACAAATGTTCGGAAACGGCAACTAGCTCTCTAGAATGCGTTTCTTCCGACTTCTTCTAGTGCCTATTCCTCGAGCCGGTAACTTCGAGCAGGGTTACCGAACAGCAGAGAGTTTAATTGCGGTTCGGTTTATTATATAGCCGGAGCCAAGCGACCCGAACTGGCGCGGCCAAACTTCTTCCAGTTCTACATACTACGATACAGTGGACTTGGAGGGGCTCGAACCTGTCCCCGTGGAACCTTGAGAGTTTCGACGCCATTTCGAGTCCCCTAATTACATCTGGACTTTACATTTAAACGAGAAAAGGTGATCGCGACGGCGCGGCGCGGCGCCAAGAGCTTGCCCCCGCCCCAACGGCGACGAAAGTTTCCGCGACGGTGCTGTTTCGATAAAGAATATAGCCGCCGTCGCCGCCTTCGCGGAGATCTCGGTGAACAATCACGGTTCCGGTTTCTGCTCCAGAAAACGGGTTCACACTCCGTCCCTTTTCACTTTTGCCGACGAGGCCAGGCACTCGGTGCAATCAAAAATATTTCCTGCCGCGAATGGAACGGTAACCGCGGTGCTCGAACGTACGTCACATGGGGGAGAGGGGGGGAGGCTGGGTAGAACACACAACCACCCACGCCATCGCAATTTCATTTCTCCGCGACGCGACGCGAGTTAATGTGTTCGATCGATTTGCTTTTGCGTCGCGGGACTACAGCCTGCAAATATTACGCTAGCCTTCCAGCCACGTTCAACTGCACCGTCCACTTTGCGATTGCGAGTACACGATCCTCCAGACAGTTGATCATCGGAGAATCGAGTCGCGTTGATTTTAATCCACGCTAAAACCTCGTGTTAGCATGTTTTAATTGCAATTGCAATCGTTTCTTTGCCGTGGACGGGATACGTTGTCGCGTTAGTCGAAGATCGACTAGAAAATCAGCTCGATATCGGCGGATGTTAAACAATGCCCTAGAATCAATAGACACGTGTTCCATTTAAAGAGCAATTGCCATTTTCTACCGTTCCAAATTCTCGTCTCCACTCTCGCATTTTATGTTGGTCAACGTTGCGTCCCGTACACGCTCTACCGAAGTCAAAATTGCCTAGGCTTAGCCAGGCCGGGACTCGGAAAAGTCGCGGAGAAGCAAGGTGATCTTTGGCCGGGGTCGTGTTGTCTCGCAGCGAACGCGAGCGCGAAACCGCGAAAAGGCGGTTTAATCGGCGCCGCTAATCGTTTCCGAGAGAACCACTTGTAACACTTTAAACGGAGCACTCAGTGGAGTGCGGTGCTCGGGACAGATTCTTTGGTGGGAGCTTAAACAGCGCATTCCGGCGAGAATCATTGCCGTGTGTACCGTGCGCTAACAATAAGTTTCCCACTTCGCTGCCGCGGCGATCGGAAGCCTCGACTTGTCTGTACTTCTGAAAAGGAGCAATAACGTCGCCACTCTGGATAACGCGACTGTCAATTACCGGCGATTATTCGGCTTCGCCGACAACGAGGTCAATGCCGATTCTCGACTCGGACTCAGACCTCGCAGAATCCCTATGGAACAGCGGTCGACGTGTCGCGTTGACACGCGTCTAACGCGTGCACGCGCTCGCAAACAAACAAGGGGGTCGTTTGGATCGATGCTCGGATCGAGACACGATCGACGATGCGATCGCGTTTATGCTTCCGGAGGATGAGACTACGCTACCAGGGTTGCGATACAACTAATTCGGGTAGCTGGGGGTTGGATCACACTATGCGGTTATACCGTCGATGAGCATGATCGTTCTGTGAGCGAAACTTACCCCAACAGAGCTGATTCCTCGGCGGTGGCGGCGCTCGGCATCCTGTGTCTTTCCCTAGAACAAAATGGCGGCGAATAATAACGACGCCCAGCCCTAGCGGCTTGCAGCCTCTACCCGGGTGCCAACAACGAACATTAGCAGGCAGAACTGTTAAACTCATTCCAAACACGACGTCACGGGGAACCGGCGATTAATTTTAGGTACACACGAGCCTACGGGGAAGACGTTCGCTAGCAACGCTCCTCTCGACTTCGGTTCTTTGCACCTCCGAGAATGATTTCGTCGCGATGTCTTGCCGTTACCCGCTGGAAGAAATTTATCGGCCAGCTGAAAAACAGGAACAGTTATGTCTCGTTTCCTTTCGACGTCGGCTGTAACGTTTGCCGGGGTTTATTGCCTCGCGGTGAGTTGCGAGAACCGATAGAGTATGCACCCTAGCCGGACTACGGGCTTTTTGCATCGCTCTACGGAGCGTGCTAGATAAAGTGGGGCGAGCCGTTTTCTTCGAATATAATCGAGATATATGGCGGTTTCGTTGATAACATTGAAAGTGAAGCCTACTAGTTGCGTGAAAAATTCACGGCGAAGCGAATAATCTAGACAAACGAATCGTAATAATAACTACACGGAAAAAAGGATTTAACCGAACGCTGTGTCGAAAGTATAAACGCGTAAACCGTGAAGGAAAGTCGTTGTTTCGTATCGCGGATTTGTAGCAGTAATGCTCATAGAAGCTCGCGTTTGCTCAAAACCATACAACTTTCTCGGCTCGAATATTTTTTTCATCCGCAACCGAACAATGACATGTCCCACTTGCGTGACTCAGTTTGCATAATCCACTAAGAGCCTTTTCAGACGAGACAGTCAATGGCTGACAACTGCTATCCGGAGCAGATTCACACATATTCCATCCTCGTGGCAGCCTGTGACGAACAAAGGACGGATAGTGTACGCGTTGTCCCCAGAAAGAGTCATTAGCTCCTGACATGCAAAGAACAAATGGACAGGTAACGCTCTAATGAATCGGCCAGCAAAGTGTATATTGGAACATAGGCTATTTAAAACATAACGATACATACTAGAAACAAAGAAACGAATTCCTAGCATAGATGGGAAATTATGGACTCCGTGATGGAAGAACAGTCCTTTTGTATTTTCAATAATTGCCAACTGTGTAAGAGGAACAAGGATCCAGCTTTGTTATAAAGTGTACAACTGTAAAAATTATTCTCTACAAAACAATGATCAAATTGAACGACAGAACTCGCAGGATTTCGCAGAAGCTCAAGAAGAATCCTTCAGAATTCAGAACAAAAAGGTTCTATAATTTTGTAACTATTCTTCTAGGGATTTTTTCTAAATAGAAATTATGGACTCCGTGATGGAAGAACAGTCCTTTTGTATTTTCAATAATTGCCAACTGTGCAAGAGGAACAAGGATCCAACTTTGTTATGAAGTTTACAACTGTAAAAATTATTCTCTACAAAACAATGATCAAATTGAACGACAGGACTCGCAGGATTTCGCAGACGCTCAAGAAGAATTCTTCAGAATTCAGAACAAAAATGTTCTATAATTTTATAACTATTCTTCTAGGGAGTTTCTAACTGAAACCTAAATTTTTTATTTCAGCGAGTGATTTGAAATTTGCCAAGCCCTAATAAAATAACCATTTCCATTGACCCTCGAACTAAGAATATCAGGCCCGCGACAGATTCCAAACAGATCCTTCGAGCAAGCTTTAAGTAATCTTGAACTTGCCACCCCATTTAAACCTCAACCCCTTCAGCAACCCTCCTAAGCCGTTGACAGAAAATACTAGAACCACCAGAGATTCAAAATTCAACACCTCTGAACTATCTCGCGCCGCGAGTGCGGGAAATCCACAGGTTGCTCATAACTGTCTCCTCCGGATGCGTTGATATGGCTTTGATTGCAGAGGCCGGGGTGAACACCGAACACAGTATCCTGCGCCCTAAACGTTACAGCCGAGTGTCGTCGGATCGCGCCTCGAGTGGCTGAATACATTCCTTCCATCGGGTAACCGTCTCTCGTCGTCTCCAACGTAAGATACAGTTTCGCGGGTTTGGTCGGGCTCGCGATAGTTTCAGGGTGAAACCAGATTCGACGAGAACGAAACCGCAGTGTCGGCGTTCGAGGACAGAGCAACGTCGGTTTCCGAGTGTCCTCGATGGTATCGCGCATTCGGCTAGGTGTCGTCGGCTAGGTCCGTCATTCTCGGTGGATCGACCTCGCGCCGAGGATTACTCGAACCGAGAAGCCGGTTTCCGCAAACGCACGCGTTGCCGTCGCGCGCCGCGAAGCACACGCCGATGCAACTCGAGCGTTGCGGGGACAAAGGAACAACGCATCCCGAATCCCGGCTTCGTGCACGAGGAGAAATAAAACTATCACTGCTACCCACTACCATTTCCCAGTGTGCTGGGTCTGCCTTTCAAAAGAAGCGACGAGACGCGACGCGATGAGACGCCGCCGATCGTAATAAATGACCACGCAACCCCAATTACCCCGGGGCTAATAACGTTTGGGACACGAGTCCGATGGCCAGCCACCGTGACCGCCGATTTACCTCGGCCTCGACGTTTGAAAAACAGACCACTATTATCGTAATAACGTAACATCGGCGATAGATTCACTGGACGAGATTACCCTCTGCGTTCGCTTTCGTACGAAGGGCTGCAAAACCTAGTCACAGCCGAAGCCTAATTTCGCGGTTTTGCATCGATTCGTGGCTTAGGTCTGACCATAGGGATAAATTATTAATGTCTTTTGTGCAGTGTAAATTTTAACGATTGAAGGAGATGACTCGAAGTTTCTTCGAGTTCACCAGTTTTGTGTCTTTTCGAAAATTGTTGATCGAAGGCAAGAGTTTCGTGCGACATGTGCATAAATTGTGGTAGCAGATTACTTGCTCGTGAGTGCGGTAAGCAATATTAATCATGTTTTAATGAGAAGTCATCCACAGGAACGTAATCTATCAGTTTCTGGAGGAATACTGCCACAAAAGACATTTTTTAAAATTCTTTTCCATGTAACGTAGGCGTTACAGATCCAATTAATACGTTTCAGCGAACTGTTAACCCTTGCCGTACCATTATCTTCACGACTTCAATGATTAGAACTGTTTCAATTGTTATAATTTCTTAGAAAAAAAAAGAAAATTTATATTTTATTGTGTATCTACATTTATTTCCATGCTCGAATATTGATGATAAGTAGACAAAATTTGATTCCAACTTAAAAGAACGATACAACGTTCACGCATAACTGTTTATTACTAGAAATCTCCATGACGAGTCAGATCCGTTGAAGTATGGCAAGGTGTTACGAAAGATTTTTGAAGTTGTAAGATGTCGAGATTGCGCGAATCAATTTTGCTTCGCTTCGAAAGCAGTCTCGTATCGATGTTTCCAGTGAAACAAGCGGTATCGGGCTGCAGTTATTGATCAAATTAAGATCCCTCTGGTCGGACCTATAAAAAGATCTCGTCATAACATATCGAGCAATAAGAACGAACGACTCTCATCTGGACAAATAAAGGTCGGTAGAGACTCGTTATTCGTCGAGTATTGTGACGGGTAATTTCGTCGGATCGTAAAAGCATCACCGAGAACGAGTCGTGAAACGTCAGCATGCGAAACACAGAGACTACGAAGCACAATGCACAACTGGAACGAAGCGAAGGAAGACTAGGAAAACGTCTCCAGCCATAGCAAATATACAATGTAGAATGTGGAGGTGTTCAGCGTGAGGAAAGGGATGACGTTCAGGTCGCATGATGCGGCTTACCTCGTGGCCTGCTTTTGTAGCCAGGCCGATCAATAGTCGCGGCTCCAACTTCCGGTCCTAAAGTCCGTCCGTGCTTAAGGTTAAACCAGTCTTTGATTATTCGGGCAACAATGGGGAGCACCACGTGCCTCGATTCGTCAGGTGGAGTCGAAGGAACGCACTCGAAGCGGTCGCGTTATAGGAATCCTTGGAGTCGTATTACCGTTAGCGTATCATCGGTACCACGTTACTACCGCACACGGATATCTAAGCCATAAACCGTTTAGTCTAAAGATAGAACCGCATTTTACCGGAAAAATGTTCACTCGAGGGTTAAGCACCGAGAAATCCGAAAACAACAATCTCTCTTTCGTTCCGGACAAAAGATCTCGATCTATCGAAACTTTCGACGGTCGGACCGAACAAGAAAATATGGCTAGAATAATTATTCAAATATTCCATTCCTTTAAGGTCAATGATAATTCAAAAGCGGCAATCGAAAAGTTCAGAAGTTGATTTCTAAAACGCGAAACGAATCATTTCTGTGCGAAAATATGTCACGCTTCCATAGCCATCGATTAGTTATTGCGTCCAATAAAACTGAATATCTTACAATATTTTGCGCACGTCGAAATACAATAAATCTAACAAGTGACACAACGATGAATTTTCAACAAGATCATCCTTTCCTTCGTTGCTGCGAACAGCATCGTAAATGTTTCCGCGGCTGAGTAAGCTGCTATCGATCGACCGGCAATGGCTCTAAGAGAAAAATCGAACATGGAACAGCAATATCTCGGCCGCAATAAACGTTAACTACCAAATGGAGCGTCCGCGGGGCTAATGGAACGACGTAACGCAGAATACGACCCCTCAGATTTAGTCCAACACGGAAACAAGGTACGATTCCCGCAGCACGTGAAACACAGATCTATGCCCATTAGCACGGTGAGTTAGGTGAGTCAGACGTTTTAGTAGCGATAGGTTTTAGTAATTGGAAAGCGGCCCCGTACATCAATGCGTTTCTCAGAAGTACACCAAGTATTTTTCCGCGATTTTCGTTTCGACCGGCACAAAACGGCAGGGAATTGTGACGATCGATTCCTCGACGCCAGTCGCCAGTCGACGGACGGCCACCGTGGCCAATAGTAAAGCCACTCTAACCGTGCCTCCGATATTTTCGACCTCGAACCGATTACACGCGACCTCCTTAGGTCTGACTCTGCACAGGTCAGTTTGCCGTGGATTCAGAATATCTTAAAATCCGATCGAGAAATATCTACGTTTCAAAAACGATCGAAAGATAATCCTTTGGAGAACTTGCAACGATGATTCACTGATTTATTTATCATACAATAGACTGCACCGTTTGTTTTGGAGAAAACAGTTTTCTTAGGTTTCGCGAAGAATGTTTAATTTTAGGAAAATATGAAACATTAAATTCGAAATAGAACAGGTAATTATTTCTGTATTTATTCTGTATTTATTATTTCTGTAATTATTTCTGTATTTCGAAATCTGTCGACTCTAAGCTATACAAAATGCACGATAGCGTTTGTCTATAGGTACTCGGAATTTATTAGAAAATCGACATGGTTGAATAAACAGCTTAACGCAGTCAGTGGGCATCGAAAGTAAGCACGCGCGTGCGTACGTTTTATTCGAGCATGTTGCGTTCACAACATCATTGCAAAGTTTTACGCGGAAAAAAAATATTCGCTACTCTTTATAAAGACTAAATTTTAACATGTTTCCACCGAAGTGAAAACAATATTGGATTCAATTGCACTGTATATACATCGTTACGCTTCTTAAATTACTATTCGACGCACGTGCACAAACATTGCACAATGTTCTAGAAAATTACATACCGTGTCTGCTTATTTACGATTGTCGACTGACAACGTACGAGCTCGTCATAACCAACCAGTCATCCACGGCCATCGCCGATACAAAATTCTTTTCCAATATGGAATCAACTAAGAATACATTTATTTTCGATACGAGAGATTAAGAAATTCTCTGTATTATTGCATAACAGAGAATTTCGAACATTCCGACACTCTCCAATGATTTTTACCGGCCAGATAACAATTTTTCCCACGTGCGAACGCTAAAATCGTTAGACCTCTTCAATTAACATTCGACTAATTCATTTTGACCGTGTACACACTACTCGAATGATTCGTTGCGCTCGTTCCGTAAAGTATTGCACTACGAGCGGCAATGATCATATACGGACTATACCTTCGAACTAGTGGAATTAATCGAAGAGGGTTGAATCAACGCGAGCTAACAACTGGAAATTTTCACACAGTATCCTTTTATATAATTTCCTCCGTGTTCTAAAAAGGTGAGATCAGATTTCGATTAAAAATGTTGCAAGTAATTCTTTCGTAATTAACGCTTTATCTACCGGAAACCTATCGATCGAATTTTTAATTACCGTGCTATACTAAGAGAAATCGAAGTAATCGTGTTTTCTACACGATAATCCCGTACGAAATTATTAAACCATTAAACAAATGATGAAGCAATCTTTAACTATAAATTATATACTCGAATTTTCAATTGGAGATCGATTCATTTGGAAACGAAGCCTTCTATGTTCTTGTGCGTTCACTCTTTCGAGTGCAACTACTCAAGCAACCAGCAAAGATAAAAAAAAGAAAGAAGATTTTAACTTTGAACACTATTTGCAAATCAAAATTCAATCTTTCCCTTATTGTACAGTGACTCTAAAAAGATGTGCAAGAACCAGTAGAATGAACCTAATACTTTCATCCCCTAATGGTTTCCAGCGCTGAGCCCAAAGTCACCCTAAAGTGGCAACGATCAACCTAACCCCTCGCTCCAGCGAACTATTACCGCCAAAGTAGCTCTGACGAGGAGACAATAGAGTAATTCCACGAGCGACCTGGGCAGAGTCTAGTATCGGATCGAAGCCTGTACCATAATTGATCACGGGCCGAATAGACTGGTACGAGGTCGAGGAACAATTGCGAAGAGACAAGAGGGAGAGAGAGAGAGAGAGAGAAAGGGAGAGGGAGAAAGAGAGAGGGGAGAGAAAAGAGAGAGAGAGAGAGAGAGAGAGAGAGAGAGAGAGACTGTGTGTGTCCCGCGACCGTCACCCTACTTGCCGACCGGTTTTTCCCCTGTACTCGCGGACAATATCGTATAAGGCATTACCTTGAGACGATCGAGACGCTCTCACGGCGGTCCTCGATCAGCGGGTCCTTTTTCCTGAGCTCGACCTTGGGCGAGGCGAAACTGAAAGCCTTCTTGACGCTCTCGAGGACGCTCTGCCCGGTGGTCTGTGTCTGGTCGACGATCGTCGTGCTTTTGTAAACGTCCTCGCCCAGGTCGCCTAACGACCTGTACGAAGCGCCAATACCTGCCGGCATGGCGACAAGTCCGGCCGCTGTTGCTCGCCCACGATGAACCCTAACCGACTGATCGGACGACCCGCTCGGACGTCCTCGCAGCGGACTCGGCCGTCCGCCTTTCCGGTGCCACTACTTCTCGCCGACTGTTCTCACTTCTGACAGCCGCGTTCCTTGACGAACGCGGTCCAACCGAATGCTCGATGCGTGCTGCTTCCGCTTCTACTACCGGTGCTGGTGCTGCTGCTTCTGCCGCCTGCTGCCACTGCGGCCGCAGTCCTCGCGGTGTTGCTGGCGGCTGGTGTCGATGATGCTGATACGCGTGCCCGAAGCCGATACGCCAATAACGTACGTCAACAAGGCAAACGAACGGGCAAACGGGCAAATAAAGAAAATCCAAGATAAAGAGGTTTCGTGTGTGTGCTCGGACTAGCGATCGAGGCATCGGCAATGATTTCTGACTGTCAGCGAACCTTTGATAACGCTGTCACGTCGGACGTGGTATTTACCTTGGGCTATTTTACCCAGCGGAATCAAAACATTGGACACTAAACGTTTGTGCCGCGTGGTTTTTTTTTCTTTTTGGTGGACTTTGATGGCGAGAGACTAACAAAGAGAGATTGATGGAACAAGTGGACTGCGAGGAATGCCTTTGAAATCGACTACGATTGTTTGTAAACTAATTTTTCAATCCGAAAGCTGACCTAATAATGCACTCTTCTTTTTTTGATAGTAAGCGAATCCTTTGCACACTTTGTTATTTAACTTGATATTTTCCTTCTAACAGTTTTCATTTCCTTCCAATAGTTTGTAAACAATTAAGCGCATTTAATCTCGCTATAATGAAATTTTTAGCAATTTTGTTAAATACAAACAGATTTAAGAATTTAAACACGGTTGTGAATTATGCTACGTCCATTTTAATCGATGCTTCAAAATCGCCACTCGTCTGCAACGAGTTAAGAAGGTGAAGTTATTGCGAGCTCGAACTTCCAAATTCGAACTTTTAGGTAAGCTGACCTAATAATACACTCTTCTTTCTGATAGTAAGCGAATCCTTTGCACACTTTGTTATTTAACTTGATATTTTCCTTTTAACAGTTTTCATTTCCTTCCAACATTTTATAAACTATTAAGCGCATTTAATCTCGCTTTAATGAAATTTTTAGCAATTTTGTTAAATACAAACAGATTTAAGAATTTCAACACGGTTGTGAATTATGCTACGTCCATTTTAAACGATGCTTCAGCATCGTCACTCGTGTGCAACGAGTTAAAAAGGTGACGTTGTTACGAGCTCAAACTTCCAAATTCGAACTTCAGTTTCCCCGCTTAATGAAGAAGTTAATGGGACCAAAAAAAATCGAGCAACACGTCCTTCGTGCGCTCTACAACCTCTCGCATATTCAGAAACACCCTATACATGGATGATACTACCCGCCGCACAGAAAATTCGAGTTGTATTGGTGACCCAAATGTCGCGACTTTTCTTACAGGTCGACCTTTAATGACGTCACGAGCAGAGGTGCAATTATTTTCACAGAGAATCGCGTTGTTTATTATTTCTCTCTGGCGCGTTAGCCTCGTTGTTACTGGACCTGTGTTCTCCATTCGTGAAATATTATACGTACACGTGGTATTCAAAAAGAATGACGCCACCGGAGTCGAATGACGTTCTCTGTGCCCCAGTGATGCTTTTAATCGTTCCACTTTGTCGCTTTTATTCGCTGCAACGATTTTACGAATGTTTTCAGTCGGAAAATTCGTGTCTCTGCAACACGAACCGTCATAACAAAAAGCTATGAATAAATTGTATCAATTTTATCGAATCTTCCTATCATCTATCAAATTTCTGGCATCTCTTGGAAAAAATACAGTTTAGCTCCAAAACGTAAATTCACTTATAAATATTATCCGATTCTTTTAAATTGGAATAAATTTCTATTTTGCTGTTGACGATATTTGGTCATTAGCGAATGCAGACGTACAGTCGATATAAATTTTTTTCGTCGCGTAGAAAATAATTTGCAACAAAGAATTTCTAAACAGAACCATACCCGATTTTCTCGAGCATAGGATTTGAGAAATATCGAAAACCGGATCTGGCCAAGTGCTTAATTAATTCGGTCGAAACGCACGTAGCAATTCTACGGGCGGTCATCAACGCTGCGCATCCTCTTAAATGGTGAACTGCACTCCGCTCGTGACGCGATGCAGCCGAAAGGACCGGTGCACCACCAGCCGTCATTATCGCCAGTCGGACGAATTTGCAATTATGGTTCAGGTAATACAAAGTCAACAATCGTCGAGTCCACCGGCACGTGGAATGAAACAGGTACTCTACGAATTCTCGTGCCGTTAAGTGTACGAACGGCCGCAAGAACAATAGAACTTAATTGGAAGTGCCGTTGGTGATGGTGAACGAAGCACTGACATTTGTACGTCTCTCTCACGACCTTTACTGTGTCCACTTTTCCTAAAGTGTGTGCGGTCATATATGTTTAAACAACTGAAACGTGTACTCGAAACACAGATTACAAACTTTGTACACTTAATAGTCGCACTTCCAAGCAAGTGAAGCTTTTGTATGATTTGAAGATCTGCTCTTTGTCGATAAACTTTCATGACAAAATTTTCTTTTCACTTTTAATAATCGTAATAACTTAGTAATGTATCAAGCTTTAAATTATTACTTATTTAAATTTTAAGTTAAATGTATTAAGTCCAAAATTTAATATCCTTAAATTCTTCTAACGTCTTTACAGTTTTGTTTGACCTATTATTCATTCCTCTCGTAAGCGCACAAAATCCGTAGTATAATAATTACACTTTTAGCACGAGTTAGTATAATACTTTATTGTGCATCAAATCACTAGACTGCAGATTTTCATGGGAAATATAACTGTCTCTTATACACATCTAGATGTGTATAAGAGACAGTTATATTTCCCATGAAAATCTGCAGTCTAGTGATTTGATGCACAATAAAGTATCTGTCTCTTATACACATCTAGATGTGTATAAGAGACAGTTATATTTCCCATGAAAATCTGCAGTCTAGTGATTTGATGCACAATAAAGTATCTGTCTCTTATACACATCTAGATGTGTATAAGAGACAGTTATATTTCCCATGAAAATCTGCAGTCTAGTGATTTGATGCACAATAAAGTATCTGTCTCTTATACACATCTAGATGTGTATAAGAGACAGTTATATTTCCCATGAAAATCTGCAGTCTAGTGATTTGATGCACAATAAAGTATCTGTCTCTTATACACATCTAGATGTGTATAAGAGACAGTTATATTTCCCATGAAAATCTGCAGTCTAGTGATTTGATGCACAATAAAGTATCTGTCTCTTATACACATCTAGATGTGTATAAGAGACAGTTATATTTCCCATGAAAATCTGCAGTCTAGTGATTTGATGCACAATAAAGTATCTGTCTCTTATACACATCTAGATGTGTATAAGAGACAGTTATATTTCCCATGAAAATCTGCAGTCTAGTGATTTGATGCACAATAAAGTATCTGTCTCTTATACACATCTAGATGTGTATAAGAGACAGTTATATTTCCCATGAAAATCTGCAGTCTAGTGATTTGATGCACAATAAAGTATCTGTCTCTTATACACATCTAGATGTGTATAAGAGACAGTTATATTTCCCATGAAAATCTGCAGTCTAGTGATTTGATGCACAATAAAGTATCTGTCTCTTATACACATCTAGATGTGTATAAGAGACAGAGTTAGTATAATACTTTATTGTGCATCAAATCACTAGACTGTAGATTTTCATGGGAAACATAAATTGTCCGTAACGGCTGCAAGAGATTAGATCCTGCAAAAGACGATCCTCAATTTTCTTAACTTCGCAGCTACTTATTTTGTTATACAAATGCATGAAATTCCGTGCGATAAGAGCATTATTCGAAGAGATCAAGGAAATCTTTCCAGAAGAAAATCGGCGTGCAATCGAAACCACGTTACTCGAACGAGCACTTAAGAAAGTAATTGCAGAATTATCGAATAAGTCCACAGACATTCCCATCTCTCGGTCCACCTGCCCATTTCTATCTGGATTCTTTAATTGCGAACCGTCCGAGAAAACGAACCGCCTCGTCCGAAGCTAATGGAACGTTTCCTGCGCGCGCCCTTCGCCGATCGCAGACATTGATACGTCCCGGCGAGATTGCGATGCAATCTAGAACGCGGGCGGCGCGATATCTCCATTCGCCTCTTCGCTCTAGAGATCGTCCGTCCGATCTTCAGAAATCAGCCCTTGGAAATCGTTGTTGATGCCTGGCGCGAACGCGCGAGCAAACAAACGAGGAGCGTAAATAAACGAAAACCAAGAACGCAATAAAGGAAGTGAGTTGCGTGTCAAAGTGTGGCGTCATCATGCAGAACAACTGACTGCCCGAATACATCGAGATAATCATGCGTGGCCGCATGCCAACTGCCAAGGCGATGATGGTACGCGCAGTATCGTCGTTTCCTGGGAACATGCGGACGCCAGAGGAACCGCGAGAATCAGCTCGGAATCGCTCCGGAATCGCCCCGAATTCGATTCGCCGCGGAATTCGTTGCAGCGCCAGCGTTCCGCTGCCTCGCGTCGCGTTCACGGGCCACGAAGCTGCAATTTCGGGCGTCGATCACGCGGTTCCCTCTGGAGCGATCGCAATACACCGAACATGCAAATATAGATCGTGCGTTACAATACAATCGCAGATGGACGATTCGTGCAACCGTGTTCTTCCCGTTGCGAGGGGCCGACGAGATTCTCTCTTTGACTTCCTGTTCCGTTGCACAACTGATCGATGATCGACGGGGACGATTGATAAGAGCTACACGATCTGTTCCCCGGAAGAAGATACCGCGAACTCGCGACACAACAATTGTCCAACGCAATTCCATCGATCTCGCGTTCTCTGATATGCGATGGATGGTTGTCGCGGCGGAAGTTGCGCTTCAGGTTTCTTCGTTCGAGGAACAGGGGCGAGGAAAGATGGTTTCGGGATTTGCGATGCGTTCCGAACGATTTGGTCAACGATTACGGTGTTCGATCGATAACGGACGATTTCGAAGTGAACGGGTTAAGTTTCGATATTTCAAAATTTTATGCTTTCGATTCTGCTTGTTTGTAAGTAGTTTTTATCGGGACTGTGTATATCAAAGTGATGTCAAAAGTCGACGAATTGTGAAGGGTACGCTTTCAAGAACGAACAACCGGAAATTAGGTTGTCAAGAGCAAAGGCGACATCTGTCCCGCCCTCCTTAGCTGGAATGTCCTATTTATCAAGTTTTCAATGATTCATTGAGAATAAAGACCGTCCTCGCGTGCCGCGAGATAAACACATTTTTTTTTACCGGAATGTACCAATTTACATTTCATTTTACACTAATTCCAATAGTAATCAATTTGAAGTGACCAAACAAAAAACACGCAACTATATAAACTAGAAAATTAACTCTTTGCACTCGATTGGTGATTCTGAGGCACCACTAAAATTATTCCAAAATAATTTTTATATTAATAAAGTTTAGGTTCAAAAAATGGTTAAAAGTTGTATGAGTTGTACAAGTCACCACGAGACTCAATTTCACATGCATAAAATGCACTTTGTCATATCAAATGGAAATACTATAAATCAGAAATTTAAAGTTAAAGTTACAGTTAAAACGACTTCGAGTGCAAAGGGTTAATAAATTTTTGTGCCAACACTTGGAACCTATGTTAAAATTTCTTTTTGTTAGAAAGTAACATTGAATCGCTGACTTATAGACATTCTCCCACCAGTTTCACTTTATGCAATAAAAGTATATACCAAAATTTTGAGAAGCGTTCGAACATGGCAAGAAGATCAGAAATGTTCGAAACAGTTCAGACAATCGATCTAAGGAGGGTGAAATCGATGAGTAACGACTGTCGGAAAGTTGCTCTCGGGTCTGTGACCGCTGGCGAGTTTTTCTCTCGAGAATAAAATTCCTGGGCGGAGGTGGACGCGGACGCACGGGATTCTTGAGAGAACCTTAGCGGTGGACGCAGACCTTAAACTGACCCTCCGATAGCTGTCGCATCTAATTCGGAGCGTATAAATTACGAGGATCTGGTTTCGAGTAGACGCGGGCGTGACCGTTAAGCCTTACAATTGTCCTCGCATTTATCACGGTATTAGTTTGAAAGTATCGCCGCGATCGTAGATGCGAGAACGCTAATTGCATTTTTATGGTTGCGATTAGAGAGGATTAACGTAATGCCCGGAGCCTTTCTGCTAATTAAAACATTGATCTGCTTGGGAAACATTGGCTATGCGCTTGCCGATATTTTAGACTTTTATAATAATTTCTTATAGAGACATCATGAAATCTTCAATCTAGCCACACGAAAGACTGATCATAGATTAAATTATTGTTGGGCAAAATTCTTCTTCCCGTTGTCAATACTATGCTTTGTCGACTCGTAGGATCGAATTGTGAAACGTTTGTGCTGTTAAAACTAATTCGGCGTGCAGAAAAATTCCAGGATTACAGACTATGCGATCTGCGAGGACGACGCATGTAGAACAAGAATCGATGGGGAACGAGGTTTACGAACGGGTGCACACAGATTTACCCATGGAAATAAACCGATTCCGGTATTAGTCAATGTCCCTCTCCGACGAGTTGTTAATTCGATATTCGAGCGTAACATCGGAATCCCATTAAACTTTTACAGCCGACCCGGCGAGGGCCGCGAATATTAAAATTCAGTCACGAACTTTTTCCATTTTATCCGTGCAAGCTGGCTCGAACGTCAGCAGCACGGTGCATCGCCTAGGAGCAGCTCTTCACGCCCGCGAAAATCGAAACCGTTGGGGATCAGCTGCGACCCGAACCGCATTTCCACTCCGTAAAATCTGACGGTTGACATCTGCTCGAAATATCAGCCGAAACCGCAGAGTACAATTGCTTCGTAATCTTTAACCGGAAAAAAAAACGTTTGTCAGAAAGGAATGTGGAAAAGTAGTTCACGGAAATTCGTCGTAACCAAGATGGCGTCGACCGAAAGATCAAGAATTGGATGCACCTTGCGTTCCGAAGACCTGTATCAAATTTTCGGCCGATTATCGGTTGAAAAACGTTCGGGCAATATATTAAATGTAAAAGAAAAAAAAAGCACTGAATAAAAAGTACTAGCGACGAACACATTCAGGAACTTGGATGGAATGTACGAAATTTAATGCTCGGACCTGGACATCCGATAAAACCGTATTCTTTGTCAAATACCCCTCGAGAAATCAAGCTTATCGCTTCAATTTACAGATCATCGCGCGTATACACTGACGTTCAAAAAGATTCCAATATTTACTACATTGCAAGTTATCTGAAAATTGTTACGAAATCACTAACGAATGTTACTCAATATTAGATATTACGTTTTAGACACCACGTTATAAAAGTTATACAACGTCAGCAATGAAATATGTAAGTAACTTTAAGTTTCGGTTAAACTTATATCTTGAAATTAGAAATGCGTGCACCAGGGTGCAAAAAAGGATCATTATGATATTTGAAAGAGAACATGAAAATCTAACACAAGGGTCGAATTATCTTTAATTTTTCAGCTGCTGTTACAGAAGACGACATTTTTCTATTTTCAATTGCTATTCAAATTCCCCATACGTTTAAGACTATTCGAAAACACGAACAATATTTTACCTTTTGCAATCTTCACAAAGCATTCAAAAGGACGCAAAGGCGTCCAATAATTGGAAAATAAAATATAATAACAGACAGACATTCGGAATAGAATTGATTAAATAAAATAGACAGGGATAAATTGCAAAGTCCAGAGGTACTTTTGAGCGGCAGTGTACGCTCGCAGAGCAGAGTGCACACGGTCCCGAAATCGATCCTCGCTCGGCGCCGTCGCTGGCAAAAGGGAGCATTCTAGGCAGAGCCCGCGGCGATCGTCGTTTTCTCGTAAGGCTAATCCCCCGATTCTCGGAATCCGTCCGCGCGCGTCTGAATCGTGGCTTCGTGCTTCGTAGCTTCGTGGCCCAGGAGTGAGGGTGTATTGATTTTTCGCATGGATAGCCGCGTGTGCACCGTCTAACCTCGTTTCCCGTCGGATGGATCGCGCGTTTCCCGGGCTGCGTCGACTTATCGAGCCGTCGCGTCGCGATCGTCTTTGGCCCGTGCCCGTAACATTCGCGCACCGGAATCGCGGGTCGGCGGTTCGGAAACGCATCTTTCGGGGTAGGAAGAGATAGTACTCGTAGAAGAAGGACAGAGGGCGGAGAGGGTGGCGATGAAGGGGGTTGGTCGTAGACCGAGATCGATCATCGCGGGCACGGAAGGAAAGAGGCCCGACCGTTCGCTACGACGACGCTGGGTTGTTAATGGGGTCCGAGTGCTGCGCCGCGAGGCCGCCTGTTATTAATGAGAAAACACGCACGTCGTGGATCGTAACGATCGAGGGAACTCGCGGTCACGCATACGTAGACGCGCAAACAGTGACAGAACGGCGCGGCTCGGCGCGAGACGGCGCGTCGCGGCGGCGGTGGCGACGGCGGTCCGTCCAACGCCACGGAAACGGGCGAATCGATCGAAAATGCGTGTTGCCACGAAGGGGAAACAGCACAGTTTCACCGCCGATCGAAATCGCGCGAATTGACAGGCGAATCGTTATACGCGGATGACTCACCTCGTCTTGCGCGGCTCCCGCTGCGGAGTCCTGGTGCTGAAGAAGAGTTGCAGCTTCCCCGCGGCTTCTGAACACGATTGCACCGGAAACTAGAGGCACGTCTGCGACGAGAGACGAGCGCCAGGCGATACTGTTACCGTTCCTCTCTTAGGAGCTGCTCGCTCTACTCGTGCGAACGCGAACGAACAACGAACGATCCGGACTCCCGACTCCCGACTCGTCGACTAAAATTGACGTCTCGGTCTCGCGCTCGCGTCGCTTTTGCCCTTCTCTCGCCTATGACGACTGCGTCTTTCTTCGCGTTCCCCTCTTCCTCTTTCTATCGCTCGCTCGTTCTACCCGTCGTGACGTGCGGAGACGGAGATGCACCACGGCCAGACTAACGAGGAACCGTACCGTGTTCTCAAAGCCACCGCACGATTACTATTGGCCCGAATACACGAACGACTCTGACTACAGACTACAGCCTGGTCAATGGGAGTGCGCACCGTTCCCTGCGCGGTGCACACCGGATCGAACCGGTTTCGTAGGGTCGAGATTCGTCGTCTCACTCGCGTGCAGCATCTCCATGAGTACGCGGGCGAAACCGCCTTAAGGCTGCGCGCGCACAACAGCATGGCGTAGCTGTTTCCGATAGACCGCCGAAGGATCAACAGCGACCGCGTTGGAGAAAGTAACGAAACCTTGTACAGGGGAGATCGAAGCCTTGCGATGGGAAATTGTAAGACGCACGGCGTCGAGTAACGGAAGTTAATAAGACGCGTAGCGTCGAGTAGAAATTTGCTAGTTTATTGTTACAAGTTACACGGAGAGTTCGTAACTATCTACCCATCTATACAATGTACGAGCGGATCTTACAGAACACGCGCACTAACGTGCTGTAAAGCGCAGCCACGTGCGCCCTTTGTGCACCAACATACCCATACAGGTTCCCACATTGTTGACCAACCGACGTCCCGTCAAGGACCAAATTGGAAACTTCAACGTCTCTTCAAAGATCGCATTGACAATCCGAGCACTTTTTGGAGGAAAGCGACGAAGTATGTATACGCTTCATCTGGGATCTTCGCGTGGTCCCCAACAACTTCCAAATGTCACAACGGATCGCCACGTGTTCCTACGCGCAACCGGCGTCCGCGACGATCAACGTGCACATCTGACGAGCTCGTCACACAACAACGTGGAGAACTGCAGCTTCAGTTACAAGGTTCCATCCCAGGATGCGTAAGCGAGACCACCTTAAATTATATCTAAGTTAACCTTTTAGGTACGGCTGAATTCTGCGCGAGGCTATGTCCCTGGACGGCAGATTTTGATATGTACTGTACAGAGTCTGATACTATATATAGAGGGTGTCCCAAAAATGTCTTGCAATCCGAAAGTGGCGGGTTGCTCAGGCCATTTAAAGCAACTTTTTCGTTTACAAAAATGTTCTCCGAGGCACCGTTAACGAGTTATTAACGAAAAACAGTGATCAATGAGAGGCGAGCTCGGCTGGCGCGAGGCGATCGAGCCAATGAGCGGAACCGGGCTTCGTGCGCTGGTTGGCTGGCCCGCCTCGCGTCAGCCGTACTCGATTCTTATTGGTCACTGTTTTTCGTTAATAACTCGTTAACGGTGCCTCGGAGAACATTTTTGTAAAGGAAGAAGTTGCTTCAAATGATCCGAGGAACCCACCATTTCCGGATTGCGGAAATAGACTGTTGTAAATCGATGTGAAGACAAAAGAAGTGTGAAACAATGCATATGAAGACGATTATTTGATTCAAACGATGAGTGAGTGAGCTACTAGAGCAAGCCACTATAGTGGCGCGTCGTTCAGAGAGATGACATCCGCGAAAGCCATTATAGTGGCGCGTCGTGCCTAAGAGGTTAATAGCACGTCGTAATGGCGGAAAACTAGGGCTCAGCTAACAATCATACTGTTCTTCTGGAAGTACGAAATATAGACGCATGCGGGGTACCAAAAATTCCGAAATTCTTTAGCAACTATCCAAGTCGAGGCAACGTTGGATACAGCACGAATAACGGCTAGTAATACGCGTACGGATTAATTAATCGTCGCCCTAGAACCGGAAATTGTCTCGACATGTAGAGATTTATTAATCGGGCAACGTCCCCGAAACTTGTACGATCTCATAAAAACTCGTATTAATTAAACGTTTGCGACGTCAGCGGAAAGCCGCCTTTGTCAGTTACCAAAAGTTCAGGTTACCACCGACGGAAACCGTCGAAAATTTTGTACCACTTGTGTGCCCTTGTGTGGCGGTTATTGCGACAACGAAGGCGTCGAATCTATTTTTCTCGATCAAATACTCGCAGCATCGAAACTCACGAGTTAGCAGAAATTAGCAGAATTTGCGGACGAGATTTACTGTAAACTTAACATAGAAAAAACTGGCGGTAGGATGATTCGAAATTACTTGTACACTTGTGTGCGGTGGAAAACTTCTTTATTCGTTCACGGACTTTGTCTCTTGACGAGTCGCGGTGCAATGGTGTGTTGTGTGGATGTTGGGTGAGAAAAGGAGAGGGGATGACGTTTCGTCCGGGGCCCGCTAGAAGGACTCATCAGTAAGGCAATGTCGGTAGGAATGTCGGTAGAAAGGACGAAGTCTGTATATACAGGAATCGAGGCGGATCGGTTGCTTGCGGGAAGAGGAGCCATCTGCTGGCGGGTCTGGAGGTAGCTGCCACAAGACTTACAAGACTTACTATAGAATCTAAGATCGACAAAATTTCCGAAAATATCACGAAGTTGTCGACTAAAATGGATCGACTAGAAAAATCGACATGAAGATCACAGCTATCACAGATCATAAAGCTACCACAAACTCGATTTGCACGCTATGTTGGGTGCAAAAAAAGGACGGTGCAGCCGCGTATTTGCAAAAAGATACGAATCGTTGTTCGCGTTCAACAGTTCCGCGTTCGGAAAACTAGTGTTACCTTCCCCCTCGGGGGTGGGAGGCGAAGGTCAAACGCTATCAAGATGTCTCCATGTTCGAGATAGACGTTCCGAGCATATATTCCTAATCGATACCGGATCAGTCAAATCTCTTTTGCCTGGGACCAAGAACGGCAAGCTCGAACCCAGTAATTTTCGACTCTATGCCGCGAACAATACGCGCGTTACTACTTACGGCGGGTCGACGCGTACTCTCGTTTTGGGCCGTCCAATCACATGAAACTTTTGCGTAGCTGCAGTGTCTTATCCTGTCGTAGGTGCTGATCTACTAACTTATTACGGTATTACCGTAGATCTACGAGGACGCAAATCGATCGATTCGCTTACGAAATTGCACGTCTCGTGCACGGTGAAAAACGTGAACCCACGTCTCTGCGCACGCGGTCGATCGCGCATCGGAAATTGCGATCATTCTTCTCAAATTTCCGGGAGTCACTGGCGCTAACCAGACAACTCCGCTGGAGCAGTGGGGGGGGGGGGGTGTCGTCACGTACATACTGAAGCACATCCAGTTTCGTCTTGTGCCAGGCGTCTCGCGCCGAGCAAGCTTAAAGCTGCGAAGCTCGAATTTCAACGGCTTGTCGAAGCCGGAATCTGTAGACTGTAGGCCATCGAGTAGTTCGTGGACCAGTCGCATTTATCTCGCACCGAAAAAGGATGGTGAATGGAGAATTTACGGCGATTCAATACCGTCATAATTCCAGACAGACACCTTCTGCCGCACATACGCGATTTCTCGACAAACCTTCACGGCAAAACCGTTTTTTCTCGTCTCGATGTCCATAAGGCCTATCAGCAAAAAAATCGCTGTTATTACCCTATTCAAAATTATTCGAATATTTAGCAATGCCATTCGGTCTCCGTGACGCGGTTCAAACGTTTCAACGGTACCATTAATGGCGCTCTAGGCGACTTAGATTTTGTTTCGTCTACTTGGACGACATTTTGATTGCTTCCTTCTCCGCAAAGGAATATCTTGTGAGCACATTTGCATTGCATTGCAAAGGCTCGAGCAGTTTTATCCTTGTCTTAACGTGGATTAATGACAGTTCAGCGTCCCAGAATTAATTTCCATAGATTATCGTGTTAACCGACACTGTTACAAACCAACAGCAAAGTTCAGGCTGTTAGCAATTTTCCAAAACGTCGAATTACGTCGTTTCCTGGGAATAGTTAATTTTTACTATCACATAGCATACCTCGTGCCGCTACGAATGCATGCATTCCTGAGTGTTTATCTCACTTACTCTCGTCGCAATGATAGATGCGAGATTAACTGGTCTGTGATCTTCCTTCGGTGACACACGAGTCAGATTTCGCTATGGAAAATTTCGCAAAATATGTAGCAAAAATTAGTTTCACTCCGCACAATAAAAGTACAGCACTTACGGTCGGGATTTAACGGCTATCTATTATGCAATTGAACATTTTAAACCCATTCTGGAGGGCCGGAATTTTAAAGTAGTAACCGGATCACAAACCACTAGATTACGCATTTATGCAGCGCGCTGATAAGGCCGACCCGCGTCAGCAACGCATGCTATTATTTATAAGTCAATTCACGACTCAGATCGATTATTTAGTAGGTGTCGACAATATCGTAGCCGATTCTATGCCGCGTATAGAGTCTATTAAATTACCTACATAGAGCTACGCAAGCTGGCTCAAACACAGGAGAACGATGAAGAATTCGAGAAAATTCGCCGAGGGAGTTAGCTACCCTTTCAAGTTAATCAGGCTTATGTGGGGTCCAGCCCACACGCGATTATATTGCGAACAGTCGGGAGACACGTTGAAAACGATCCAGTCTCATTTGTTGCACCTGACGGTCGAAACGACCACGTTGTCATCGATATTGTAAGTCCATTACGCGAATCGGACGGATATTGCTACATTTTGGCAATGATCGATCGATTCTCTCTCCGGCCAGAAGCCGTACCGCTGCGTGAGTTTTTTTCAACGCATGGGTTTCGCGTTATAGTGCATCCAAAATTGCAACGACAGACCGAGGAAGTCAATTCGAATCGCAATTCTTCCAAGCATTACTCTCGCATCATTGGATGCAAACGAAACCGTACAACGGCACACCATCCATCTTCTCCAATGGTCTGGTCGAACGGTGGCACCGTGACCTTAAAGCGGCGCTTATGTGTCATGCGTGCGACACATGCCGGGTAAACTTCCGACCGTACTGTTAGGATTGCGTACACGGGTAAGATTAGACACCGATGCATCGCCGGCGGAATTTATGTTCGGCAGGACACCTTGCACATTTTTAGCGAATTTGTTTCGAACGGAGATTTTACTGCAGACTCTGGGACATTTTGAAGAGAATTTCGAGATTTCGTGCGCGCAGTAAGGCTTGTACCGTTTTGTAAACACAAAAAGCGTGCGTTCTACTTTAACACGTTGACTGCCGCGTCACCCGTATTCGGGTGACAGCAAAAGTTCTCATCAGGCCACGTCACCCGTAATTCGGGTGACGCTGATTTGACTACTTACAAAGGATTTCCGAAAATATTTCGACAAATA